GATACATTATATATCTAAGCAATTCCCCAGTTATATCAAGTCTATGTCATATCAGATGCATAGAGTCACTGTGGAGGCTGGTTTTGAGATGAGAAGTCCGGAATAGCTCGAGAATTGCGTCGAATTTACAATCGTTTTTATCATTCTTCTTCTGCCATATTGAGTAGCCAGGTTTCTCGTTGGCTTGGAAACGACGCTCTTAGTCACCAATTTCTAGTGAAGACGCACTTTTTTAAACCGATCGAACCCCGTTTGGAGGTTTGGATTCAAGGAAGCAAACCGCGCGAGGCCTGGGACAAAAATTGTTCGCGAGAAATCTTGAAAGTTGTTGTTGGCGCAGATAGTCATGGCATATTTAATGGAAGACGAAAAATGATGAAAACGTTTATACAAGCTCAAGGAGTAAGGTGATTCTAGACTTGTAAAACTATAACGCAACCATAAGGCGGGCATGACCTAGTTTTGAGTGCAATTGTACGCAATGAGGAGCATACGATAATGGCGTGCTTTGTATAGTGTTTGAGCAATTGCAGAACAACTGCACATTAAATGAGGAATTGTTTCTTCCTTGACTCGGCAGAAAATGCACATAAGGTCTTCTCCTCCAATTTTGAATTTCTTTACTTTGCATGTCTTCGTTGTTATTAATTGCTGGGCGATACTTGATTACACGCTGTATACTGTATTTGGAATGTTCGGCCATACTTTAGCAATGTTATAGCTTTCCTGGTATAGGTTTTTATCTTTCCAATGATTGTGGCATATTGACCAATCCATGGTTGTTGCAACACTTCATCTTCCAAATTTCTTTCAATTTCCTTTCTTAGGATGGTCTTGAGATGTTTTGGTTGACACTTGTTAACTTCGGTGGTGCATCTGCGTGATGTGATGGTAGTTTTGCTTTATGTCATGTTGTACTTTATGTCTTTGCAAAGTTCTTAGCATCTTTGATTATAGATCTTAGTGACTTTCTTTCTTTGGCGGCTTGGAATGATGACACAAGTTGCACGTGTGGATCACTACTTACTGTAATGTAGTGGGCAATCTTGATCTTACTTTTTTTGTATAGGGTTTCTAGTTCTTGCATACCCTTTCCTCCTCTGTGTACAGGTAGATAAAGGAGAGGGTTTGATTCATGCTTGTGCTTAGCTTTGTTTTCATTCATTACTTGGCGGGTTTTTCGGTCAAGTTCTCTTAAGTGTTCAATTGGCCAGTCAGCGGTCCACATGTGATACGATAACATTGGTATGGCAAAGGTGTTAGTTGCCTTGACCTTCTTGTAAATGATAGTGGTGAAGACCAAATAACTGACAGTCTCCTGATGTATTCTTTGCTTGCCTCACGTTATACCTCTTTCTCTAACTGTGTAGCATTCTCGTATTTACCTAGGAAGTTATAGTAATCATCTTCCCCTAAGACAGGAATGCAGTTTCCACTGTGTAAGGGTAGTCCTTCGCTTGAGAAGATTTGTCCCCTTTTCAAGTGTGCAGCAGCAAATTTGTTTATTCCCCATTGAAGGCCAACATCTTGGAACATACAAAATGTTAAGGATACCAGTAAACTTCGGTCAACGATCAAGAGGCTAATACCCAAAAMGAAAAATGTGTCTATTCAGGAAWTGTCATTTCAAAGATCTAGTTCTACGGAAAATCAAGGAATTGCAAATATATTTAATACATTTTTCACTTCGGTAGCTCAACGTTTTACATCTATTTTGCTAAGTTCTCCTATCACTGGTAGATCTGTCTATTCCCCGTCTAATTGTACAAGTGTCTTCAATTCTACAGTTATTGCTGTTGACTTTGTACGAAAAGAGCTGCGCACTTAAAAAGTCAAGAAGTCATCTGGTATGAACGATATCCATATACGATTCTTGATAACTGGCGCTGACGTTATTGCTGCACCACTAACGCATATTTTCAATCTGTCCCAGTGCACCTCCAATATTCCAAGTTCTTGGAAGTCAGCCACTGTTACCCCTGTACATAAGGATGGAAAATCGTCTGATCCTAATAACTTTTGGCCTATATCAGTCTTACCAGTGGTCATGAAGATTTTTGAGCAAGCAGTACATACACAGCTATATCAGTACCTCTACTAACAAAATTTTGTTTTCCTGTCAATCGAGTTTCAGACCTACTCATTCTACATCCACGTGCCTATTGGATGTTACAGACTTGCGGCTTATTTCTTGACCTCGGTAAAGCTTTTGATCTGATTGATCACTCGATTTTGAAAAAGAAACTTTCTATGGTCGGCATCAACAACAACGCTTTGAACTGGTTTAAATATAATCATCTGGATGGAATGACTCAAACTGTTTGTGTAAATGGCTCCATTTCAAAAGTACAAAGTCTGCAATCTGGTTTTCCACAAGGGTCTGTATTAGGCCCTTTGCTATTCATAATTTTTATCAACGACCTACCTAGCTGTGTTACACAAAGTAAATTAGCGCTATATGCTGATAACACCGCCCTTTTCTTTGCTCACAAAGATGTCAAGACAATAGAGAGTGTTCTTCAACAAGAAATCGATGCTGCTGGAAACTGGTTTTTCCGAAATGGTCTGGTTATAAACTGCTCAAAGACTAACGTTATTCTCTTTGGTACAAGTCAGCGACTGGCAAAAGCCCACAAGCCTAAAATAAAGATGAGTGATACAGATCTACCTCGAAAAAATTCTATTAAATATCTTGGTCTAATAATGGACGATAAATTGAACTGGCATGAACATATTGACTATAATGCTTCAGAGGCATCACGTAGATTAGGTCTGTTGGGTAGAATTAGAAAACTTATCAATGTGGACACCTGTAAACAACTTCATGAGTCTCTAATTCTCGTATTATGCTAGTTCTGTCCCAGTTAAACCGGTTAAACTGGGACAGGACTAGCATAATACGGTGCCATATTTTGCGAGTTCTCTTGACCTTATAAGGTAAAATTACGTAATAGTCGTATAATAAAATAAATTATCTGTAGAAAGATATAAAATCATTGAACGAAAGTCTTCTTTGTTTTGCCGATGGGACCCCGCGATAGGAAGCGAACAAAGCAAATTCAAAACTCGCACCAATGTAAGGCTTAAGTTATGAACAAAGGAATCTGGCGTGACTCAAAGTAATCTGGCGTGATTCAAAACTCACGAATCACGCCAGATTCCTTTGTTCACAATTTAAGCCTCACATCCGTGCGAGTTTTGAATAGCGCAGCGCGCTGATTCTAAAAATAGCTTAAAGATTCGGACAAACATTGCATTCTGTTTAAAGTGCTAGTCTTACGAAAATGACACCGTCCCTGGAAATTGTACCATATAAAACTAGATATGTAATATAGCTCACTGTCCAAATTCTTTTTCGATACAAGACTGGGAAGATGCTTTATTTAGCCAGTAAAGTTTGGCCGTTTGAGTCCGCCATTAAGCGATTGCGTTCCTGGCAACTTTTAGTGATTCGAAGGAAGTGACGTCATACGCGCAACCTTTCAAAATTCGCGGCTTTTCACAATGTGTAATTGCAACCAAATTTCGAATATTTTTGATTTAAAAACAAGCCTTAAGCCAAGTCATGCCTTCTTACAGAGAATGCTGTAGAGTCAGTGTGGATAAAAAGGATGCTAGTTGCGCGTATGACGTCACACATATATTAAAATGCAACGATAAAATCGCTGCTCACAGAAATGGCGGACGAGCTTTGAACAATTTTCGGAAGTAGAATTCAGACGGGAAAAGTTTCTTTTTCGAACCAATTATTGTTTATTGGTGAACATTATAACCTATTTGAGCATATAGAAAATCTGGGATTTTTTTTGCTTCATTAATATTTTCGTAAGACCAGCACTTTAACCGCTACGAGGATTATACGAACCGATTTTATTATTTTTACTTAAAGTTACAATAATAACCCATCAACTGCGATCGGCTGTGAAAATTATCTGCTGAAAGTAAACTTGTAAGTTTGTTTGTTCGAATTTCGCCTTTGTCTTCGTTTTTATGACGTCACGGCTGCGCTGCGCTATTTGGTCTATGGTTTACCATTTTTTCTTAAGTATGATGCTCCGCTATTATCCTCGTGATCTTCAATAAATGATGATGCTTCATCGACTTTCTGTCTAATATATGTAACAATATTCTGGCTTCTGATCAAAATTCTAAGCTTACTATTTGTGCAGAAATAAATAAACTACAATGAATAATTAATATTAAAAAGTTCATTCTGTTTCAAATGTATAAATATCCCATACGAAATGATAAGGCGCTTAATATTCTCATTACTAATGTACCCCTTTTTTCTGTAATGAACCTCTGCTTATATTTGATCCGACTTGATGGTAAAAGCCTGCAAAATTTGTCAAGACGACTCTTAGTTTCAGAGAAGCAATTGACGATAATAAGATTAAAATGGGTCGAATTTTGCATTAACTGGACTGGATTGATGTGATTTCAAGAACCAGAAAATCATTACTTACAGAAAAAATAATAATTATAAATCTAGTCTACTTAGAATAAAACAGATTTTTATAATAGAGAGTAATCCATCGACGCCGCTAAAACAGTCACATCTGATTGGTTTCATGGTATTAATAGTAAAGTTTATTGACCTCGCACTGTAGGTGTTTTCATTATTTTGGCAGACTTACGAGGCTTCGACAATTGAAAAAGAGACACTGCCAATAAATTGTATAGATAATCTAAAGACATGCTAGGTCGAAAAATTTGCAAGTCCAGATACTGAGTTATAACTAACAAATAGCTTTAAAATGTTTTTTCGTGTGTGTGTGTGTTGAATCGAAACTGTGATGACGATAATAAAAACAATGATAATAAACACGTTTCAGTACAAGCATGGTTTGGTCTTTGCTGGTGTCATGTGTTTGGTACGGTATAACTTAAAACAGTTCTCTTGGCTACTTGCAAACTGATCCTAAGTTTTCCTATTATAAGTAGCATCTAAGCTTCCCTTCTTTTTTATAGAAATGTTTTTGTATGACTGTTTGCCCTACCTGAAATAATCGAGTGTTTTTTTCCATCAGGATGTTCAAAACTTTCCACGGCACTTCGATATTCACCGATCAATTTTCCATCGCTTGAATGTCTGAGAAAGATTTCAGAACCCAACTGGTTGTACCAAAAGCCATCCAGGTCATTACATTTCTCACACCATCCTCTGGCAAGACATGTTAGAAGCAAAACGGCAACAAAACCCAACATCTT